GTTGGAGGTCGACTAAGATACTCAGATTTCCCAAATGCTTTTAAACATCCAGTAATTTTACCCAGTCGACACTTAGTGACGGAAATGATAGTTAGACATTGTCATAAAGAACAAGGACACATAGGAAGATCATTAGAAAAAGGGTATGGATATGTGTTTACTTGTTTGCAAACATGGGCAGTACGTATTGAAATGATGTGTAATTTGATTACTGATTCATTTTTAATGGCTCTATTACGTTTTATTGGAAGAAGAAGGAAACCTCCAGAGATTTACAGTGTCAGTGCGTCAAGCTTCGTGGGGACAGTTTTTGAGTTAAGCAAGTTTGTGCAGCAGTCGAATCAGAAGATAAACATTGAATTGTCAGCGAGGCCCTCATCCAACAGCATGGGTGGAGTTTGGGGAAGAGTGATTAGGCCTATATCACGACTGTTATTGTTGATCACCAGAGAACAGGTGAAGCAGGTCTCCTTGAAGCTTTGGATTAGTCTTTGTTGTTATTAATGTAGTTAGGTCGAGTAGGCGTACTGTTGTAAGTCCTACTCGTTCCTATGGTGTGATATGTTATATAATGAACCATGACCGTAGGCGTCAAGGTAGCTTGTGTGGTATGGAGGGATTTTGGGGGCCGGTGTAAGATCCATTTTGAAGGTTTTATGTGTTGGTGAAAATCCCTCCATGTATATACTTGTACTTTACTCCTATTGATCGCATTAGTTGTACATTGTTGTATTTTGATTACATTTGAATTGTTAATATTTGTATTTTTGTTATAGTTTTTGTTTTTATTACGCATTCACTAAGTTTGTGTTTCTTCCTGAACTGCATCTGCGTTGTTTTACTTGACACTTGTTCTTGGCGGTAGCCATATTGATTTGTTCCTCCTGTTGTGTGTGATCTATCCAGCCAGGATAGAATAACGTTGATTTGTTGTGATTGATTTAATTGATTGAACAATCATTGGTTGAATAGCCGGGTGATAATATTTGTTTAGAACCGCTATCTTACCCAATTACCTTGTTCTGATTTCAAACGGGCAAGGGCGCGTATCCAACTTATCCAAGCAGCTGTCCAGCAGTCCAAACGTGGTTTGGATCCTATAGTAAGTACTCGACATTGGATGCTGACCACATGTTTTAATGGACTCACCTAGCTGAAGGCGCTCGGTCATGCATCCGCACCAGATCACGAGTGGGAACGCCGTGCTCAACATCTACTGCAGTCGCTAGCCAGATTAGATCAGACGATTCTCGATATAATGATAGCATATCAAATATATCTCCGAACCTCCTTGCTTCTATCTTTTGATTTCACTTGGTAGGTACGCTTCATATAGGTGTTACTGGTCAAAGAGTTGTCAAACTCTGAATACCTGTGGCATCTTCACCATTTACGTCAACATTTCTTATTGAATAGAAAAAATCAAGTGAATCAAGAGGGTTGTATCTGTTGGCATGATTTCTGATGGGTTTTAAAATTCCAGATAACCATTTAGCAACCAAATGATACAGAGTTACCTATATTAAGTATATGAAGTAAGGGGATATCCTTCTTATGGACTTTTGGTAGCCTGTATAGTCTCAATGTAACGGAACACGATAGTCTAAAATGTTCTAAGAAGCTACGAATAATAATATACCCATCTTCTATCTTCCTTAAGACTTTGGCTGATATCTATTAACATCTGGCCCACACTAGTTAGAGAATACTAAGATGTACAAAAGATGAAATTAGCATGATTAATTTTACCCATACATATATTAAACGTTTTTCTTTCCACTTCTGGATTATGCGACAACTGACTGTTCCTAGAATTCTACCATCTTGTGAAAAGCGATTAAAAAGATTAAACTTCGAATTGCCTGTGGACATGTCTGCTGCAGCCAAGTGAATAAAAATTTCGTGTTGAACTTAAGTGCTCGAGACCGCTCATTTGATTTATGCTAACCCGCCGCGGATACTTCAAATTCGATAATGAAAATGAATAGAGTAGTGATTGAATAGGTTTTTGGCGCTCTCATCTGTTATCGAACAGATTAGACGGTTAGTTCATTTACCATAATAATCACGGAAGATTTAACATTGTGTTCCTAGATGTTACCGTTAAGTTTTGGAGGGAAAAATGAAATTTTACTTAGGTTGTAGTGCTAAATGCACACCTAAAATGTGCTTTATGGGTCTTTACGCACCCACGATTCAAGTATGTCATCCAAATCATCCTTGAATTCTAAATTGTCTAAATGTGTGAGTCCTGTTTACGAAGACGTTTCGAAAGTAAAAATGTTAATAGCTGTTTGTGGATGATTTTTTCCATGGTTCTTGAGAGCACGGATGTTAAATTAATTGGCCTATGGTTAAAAATATCACTACGTGATCCTGTTTTGAATCTAGGGATGATAAGAGATGTTTTCCATACAGATGGATAAGTCCCATATTCTACAGATAGGCTGAAAAGTTCCAAACAAAGTAGTGGACATTCTCTACTACCATATTTCACAAATGATGAAGGGATCTCGTCAGGTCCACCATCATAAGACGTTTTCAAAGCAGCTATGACCTGCTTGATGTAGGAGGGTATAAAGTCAATTTTTGATAGGTGTCTAGACGTCAGCAATGGAAATGTATTGATAGAGTTTTCAGTTCCACTTTTGTAGCGTTGCGAGAATTGTTTGCAAATAATATCAGAGTCGTCAAGAGAATTCGACTTCACACGGGATTTTACAAGCCGTTAATATTGGCAAAAGATTATGCCGGAATAGCTGGAGCTTTATCGGAATATTTCAGCAGTGTTTTCTATGAGAAATGAGGAACGACCAACGATTAATTGTGCTTGTGGTGACATGTTGATGGATCCTGCAGCTATTGAGAAAGGTACTGTCTTAAGACTAATTCAGCATCTCAAACCTGATAGATCCAGTTGTCGTGATGATATTCACCCTAGTATTACGAAAGTTCTATCGGATGTAATTGCTGAACCTATGGTCATACGGTTTGATATTTCTCTGCGGCATTTCAGACTGTCAAGATACTGGAAAGAGACAATAATTAATCCGGTGTATAAGGCGTAGAGTAGAGACTTATTTAGTAACTATCGGCTCGTCAGTCTAACCAGTGTGGTCGTAAAACTAATGGAAAATTTTAATCGGATGGCCTTATGAGCTATGTAAAAAAGCATAATCTTTTATCCAGGGAACAACATGGTTTTCGGACAGGCCTATCATGTTTGACAAATCCTCTCACTGCAAGAGAACATTGGGCTGAGGCTAAATATTGAAATATTCCTGTAGATGTGATTCTCATGGATCTAAATAAAGCCTTTGATAAGGTTTACTATTCGGCTCTTAAATTGAAACTGAAAAGTTTTGAAATTCAATATAAGGCCATTGACTAGATAAATGACTTTATAAGTGACATGTGACAGAGGGTACGGGTGAATGGAGCTCAATCAGTGTGGGAACCTGCAAAAATTTGAGTCCCTCAAGGTACAATCCTCGGTCCTCTTCTCTTTCTGCTCTATAAATGAATCACAAACTGTAGGGAAGTCATCCGTTCTACTCTTCGCCGATGAAATAAAGATTTGGAGATCCATACTCAGTGTGTCATATAGAGTAGTATTACAGAATGATCTCAACTCATCCGTGGTATGGATGGGTGGATGGTCACTAGAAGTGGATGCTAACAAGGGGGCGGTGATGCAATTAAATGACTATGATGATTCATGTCACTACACAATACGCGGAGTTGTGTTACTCAAAGTAATGGGCTATAAAATCTAGAAGTCATAAGAAGCAACGATCTGAAAACCATGAGTAACTGTGAGGCTGCTGCTGCTGCAAAAGGCTATGAGATATTATGGGTTATTCGCAGGTCTTCTGAGTATTTGGATTATTATACCGACTTTCGTGAGACCGCATTCGGAATATGGGATTCAAGCAGCGATTCCTTGTTTCAAGTATGAGGCGGATATGCTGGAAGGAGTCCAACGACGAGGGACTATATTGGTAGAAGGTCTCTCTGGCCTATCTTATGAAGATAGAGTGAGACAACCTAACTTTTTTCGTTCAAATAGTTCAAATAGATCAAATAGTTGTGGACAGAATAGAAGAAGCCTTCGCTTAACGTGTCTAGTAGCTGTGGATCATCAATACCTCCAGGCAGGATCCCAGGTAATAATAGAGGAAAAAAAGAAAATGGTAAATCATGATATGATGTTATCCTTAGTCCTCAAGAATAGATCAAGTTTACTCCTAAAGGACTCCTATGAAGTCGCTAAGACTAGCTCAGCCAGCAGCGAATTCCAGCATTTGAAAACTCTTAAGGAGTAGAAGCTGTGTCTAGTCTACTATGTTGTGTCTCCAATTTGCTGGGTGTTACTCCTTAGGTTGGTATTGGGACTTAGCTTAAGCAGGTGTTTAAGAGGATGTCCAGAAGTGTTAAGGATACTGTACGCCATTAGAAGGTCACCTCTGAGACGCCTATACTTTAATAGGTAAAGAATAATAAATTGGAGGTGCTCTTCATAAGGTTTTAATTTGACTCCACGAACTGATTCCGTGGCTCGCCGTCCTTATCTTTTTGGAGCGACGGAGGAAATACTACGGTTTTGTGCTCTAAATGGAGACGAATAAAACTGTTGGAGGATTATGTGGAAAGTGCTTCCGTCAAACTGGCCAAAAATGCTCGTTATCTTACCGTAGATTATAGAGTGGTTGAATATCGGCTTGTCGTATACTAAACGATGACCGTAGGATTATTATGTCTTATCTTTTCTTTCCGTCTAGGACTGGTCATTTGAGGGGACATCCTGAGAAATTTCAAAAACCGAGGTCAAAACGTTTACGTCTGGAGTTTCGTTTCTCACACCGAGAAGTGAATTATTAAAATTCTCTAATGGGACATGTAATATCGGCACCTTCTGTTAATATTTTTATGAAAAGATTGGACCTTCACATTGTTAAAAACTGCAAGTAATAATATAGGGCGATAGATCTCCTATCTTTATAACTGAAGATTGAAACCAGCGGATTTTGAAGGCTGCGTCACTGTGTTTGTCGCATTTCAGTGTGTGCACCACTCCTCTGTTTTGTCACTGTGTTGATGAGTCTCGATATCATCACCCTACTTAATTCTGCAGCATGTGATGATCCGAATGTAATGGTACCTGCAAGTCAGCATCTTACTTCGGTGACTCAATCAGGAGAGAATTGTGATAATATATGTTCGGCCATAGCATCGTGTGTTTTCTCTAACAATGGTAGTTTATCTGCTGATGGACGTTTTTTGGGACTTATCTACCTCAAGAATATGGTGTTTGATTGCAAAAATAGGCATAGTGTTGATCTTAATGTCAAAAAGAAAGTTGAGATGTTATTTTTTGAATATATATCACGGGGTACGGAAAATAGCTTTACCAATCTAGTTGAGAATATTCCACGGATCAGTGGACTTGTCGCTGAGTTTACTGCAAGGTACGTAAAAAACGAGTGGCTCAAGAATGATTGGTCCGACTCTCTGTGGGATAATCTTTTGTGTTGGCACGCATGGTCTTCCTTGCGGTCTGGACTGAAGGCAGCAGCTAGTTTCAGGTTGCCTACACGGCGCCGCGCTTTTAATGCCACGGTCACGAAGTTATTACCAAGTGTTATAAATTGCTTTAAAAGTGCGTCTACGAATCTAGAGGTGAATATTGATCCGTGTATAAGACTTTCGAAGTTACTTTATTCGTGTTTTAACTTAGTTGGTAAAATTGACGCAGCTCTGGTCGATAAAACAAAGATCTATGAAGATGCTTTTGCGGTTGCCCTTTTGGCTTTGGAATTAGCATTTCAAAGTATGCTGGACGCTGAAAAGTCCCCCCTGATGTTTGTGTTTCGCCGGCGTGTATCAAAGTTATTGTTTGCTTTGTTTTTATCCTGTCCTTCGGAAACCAGAGATTGCGTTATTGAACATATATTAGATCGTATTTTGATCATTGTTTCCTATTCTGGTGATGTACAATCGAATTACAAGGATGCATGTGCAGTGAAGTGGCTTTTGGGAATTACTTACAGCGTACTTTGTTGCAAGTCGCCGAAATACGGAGGTCAGGTCGATCTCACTGAACATGGGAAGCGTAAGGTACGTTATATGGGTTTTCGAAAGGTAACTTTTCTGTCCCATGGACTGCTCTTTGAAGTGATTAATCGAGTTACGTAATATTGTATTTCAGAAACCAACCAGGTTTTGCACTTAAATTATATCACGGAAGCACGCTAGGATTTAATCTTAGTAGCACAGAGTTATATAGATTGTTTATGTAAGTCATATTCGATAGTACAAAATTTAAACCAGTTGCAAGAGCAATTAAGATTACTACGCTGACGTACATCTAGAAAGATCAGATCTTTAGTGATATTCGACTTGCTTTAGTGTTAATATTGAGGGGAATTTTCTATCTGAACGTATAGGACATAATACTTGGGGCGTATTGAAATGTCTAATTTAAAAGACGTGGCCTAATATGTTTAGTATATGGTTTTGTGATTCGTGTGTTCCTAGTTTCCTTATTATTTATTTAAACACATACACATTGGTACAAGGAGGCACCAAATGTATATGCTCCACATTTCACCATCCGACTTATGTGAGGGTTGGAATACTACACGGGCACCTAAACTAGAGCAGGTGCTTTTCTTAGAAAGCTACTCCCCGAGCCTTTGACTTGGGGGTCTCATACACAAGGCAGTAGAGCAACGTTAGGAGGTGGATTCCCATGGCATCCGGTGACCAGCAGTAGGTTCACACGCCATTTCTTATCACAGGATCCTGGAGCACCATTGGTTTGAAGTCGGAGTTTTCCAACTCCCCTAGGTGAACTCTCCGTGTCCACCGATCCGATTTAAGCACCGGGCACTCGCTTTTCGTCCTCTCAATTTCGTAAACAACACCCTCGCCACGAGAAAGCATTGAGTAGGACTTCTCTGGCAGTGTCTGTATCCGCGTGGCTATGTGGGGGCGTTTCCCAAAGAAGAGCGGACTCTCCCAACCCTCGGCAGTTCCAAGGAATTTATACAGTTGACTTAATTTCTGGCTTGTCCAGATAATCTTTTGGGGTTTTTACGTGTATTTTGACTGGTAAACAAGTGTTTTACAGAACGTTTGCTCATACGTAGTCTACACATATTCTAAATAATTAAATAACCACCACCTACCTCGACAAGTGATGTATGCTTGGAAGAAAGTTAGGAACGACGAAACTAAACGTAAGCTTAGTCCATGAAGTCGTTGATTGTTGGTTTGAGTCGTGCTAGTAAATTCAAACTACCTTATGACCTCGACCAGTGGTTGGTGAACTTGTATGACATGGTCCAAAGTTGTTCACAATAGCACTGGTGTATTAACTATTTAATCTCCTCTTAGATTTTTATTACTAGCGTCCTTTCATGCATGCCTTCTCACTGTCTTTTTGTAGCAATACTCAGTCTCTCACTCACATTGTTGTTGTATTGTTTGTGTTCCGTAACTCATCTTGCTATTTTCCATTTCGTCGTGCTAATATGCTATGGCAACTTGGGTCAGTCGATATCTATGCGAGGCTCTACGTTGATGGTGATTGACTGACATTTCATATATACTTGGTTGTTCTTATCGGAATACTACTTGCTTTTACCACTCATTTTTTATTAATTGATCAATTAGCAGACTTTTATCAAAACTGTCTTGCATACTCCAAAGTTCACTCTGGAGATAAATGTTTTTATCATTTTCAAGTAACTCTATTATTCAATGAACGTGTATTTCAGCTAGCACTGTGGATGTCTCAGCCTTATAAGTTACCCAGTGGACAAATCAGCAACAAATGGACGTACTTCATGATGTCACTTTTTGAACATTGGTTTATACTTACTCCAAACGAGTTACAGTTTTTCACAAGTGATCCAGAGGGTTGTTTATCGTCGGGTGGGATTTCCAGTATCAGTGTAGGACATGACGCTAAAGCTAATTCAGTCTATGCTGATTTAAATTCTATTTGGAATGTAGATAATCAAGCAAGTGAATTGTGTGTATGTAACATTGAAACAATAATGGGTATCTCTGATAGTTCCCAGCACATGCTAACACCTCAGCCTTGTCGTCAATTAACAGAACTCATCTTTACAATATTCTGCCGATTATATGAGGAGGCGGACCCAGTGTTATATGAGATAGTTCAGGTGAGAAGTGTAAATTTATATGATCATTATGGCTTTTCCTGAACATTCTGAACGTATTATTACTCTAAATGTCTATATACCTCCCTTATTCATTCTGTTTGATATTTCTCTGTTTTAATTGATTTTCTTTACATGTACTATCGTAGAGTGGGGGAACCTGAACCAGTTTTGGAGTGAACGCTGTCAGAAGAAATTAAGGACCGATTTTTAAGTCTTTTTATAATTTATCGAAGTTGGCTTGTATGTACTGAGTCTGAACTATTCTTCTATAATGAGACTGTTGATAGTATAATCCAGCTATCAAACACTAAACCAATTAATAACCGACTGTAGATGCCTAACTGGTGATCCCAATACAATAGGTAATGATATGAACCACGCTTTTCGTAAACGTATAGTAAGCGGTTTTTATTAATACAGCAGATCATTAGTATAGGTTTATAATTTTCCGTCTTACAATCTTAATTCTTTATCAAACAGTACAGTTAGATAAACCTACGCTTGCCTGATTTTAGCTTAGCAATGAATAACTTTCTCAAGAACCCCCGACCGTAGCTGCTACCTTGACGTGGTGGTTGGGCTTGTCTGTCGTGATGACTCAACCGAGCTAAATTGGCTGGAACAAATGTTCCTTTATGTCCTACTATATCAGGCAGGTCTATTGACTGTAGTGTAGTGTGGCAGCAATAAGTCGTTTCCCTCAAGCAACCAGGAACTGCAAAGATGGAAGGGGTCAAAAAAGGTCGACCCTAAAAATGTCACATCTCACCTTACCCTACGGATCTCCGTCTCCTTCGGTAAGGATTTTAAAAGTGCGGGGCCAATACATCAAAAATCTTTCCCAGAAAAGACGTAAGCAACCGGCCTCAAGCAGTTGTCCCTAGGGTTCTTCAATCACGCTCGCATGTTGCTAAAACCACCACTAATTCGAGTCCCTCAGGAAAATATTCTTCTACGGTGTGGGAAACCGGGAAATGACAGTCGTCCTGACACTTCTATGAGCACCGAACGGTGGTCCTATCATGATTTTCTTTTAATTTCTTCATATAAGTGATAGGAACGTCGTCAACTGAAAAGATCCATTCTGGTTGTATTTTTCTTGGCTGATGCAGGCGAGATAACCATCTGCCAACCAAAGAACGAGTTTACTGCACAGCAGTTCTACTTTATGGATGTGAAACATGGCCATTAAGAATAGAGGATATTCGTGGGTCACTAGCATTCTGTTATAGGTGTATTTGAAGCATTGCTCGTGTATTTCGTGACCACCGAGTATAAAATACCTGGGTTAGGAATACGGAGCTAGGTAAAGATGGCAAGTTGATTGATGGCGTAGTCAATCTTCATTAACTGAGGTGTTTGGAACATGTGTTATGCATGCCCAATCACCGTCTACCTCGACGGACAATGTTTTCTGGTGTAAGAGTAGGCTGTAGGAAAGCTAGGGACGGCCTAACTAAAACATGGCATCAGTTCATGAAGTCACTGACAATTAAACTCAGCCATGCCAATAGGTGTAGACTACCTGGTTAGGGTCCATGTGATTGTCGTAACCAATGGTTAGAGACTTTGAATGACGTGGCTCAAAATCACTTGTAACGGTGCATCCGTTCTTTGTCCTTCCCTGAATTTTGAGATTCCGAATTCCTCATAACTCTTTTCGTGTTTTTTTCACTAATCTACATTTTCTCGAATTGTATGTTCGATGCGTAGTGTTTCCTATTACCATTGATACTGTTACTACCTCTACAATTCTGGTATTCTGTCTGACAATTTCATCTATGTTAGCTAATGGGGTATGGTAACCTGAATCGATGTACATGCGTACCATGCTCTACTTTATGACTGACTGTCTTCAAAACTAAATATATTGATCACTCGCTCAGTCGAATTGATGAAATACTTTTCTGATGCGCTACTGTTGGTAAAACGTAAGGTAATGATCAAAAGTCTTTAGATTTTTCTTGTCTACTTAATGGTCTTTTGGTGGTTATGACATGAAAGTTAAATATAATTTTCCTTGTACATTTTATTCCACAATTTGTGAGCGGTTTACTAAATTGAATGTCTGGTACTCATATTATAACTGGGTTTTTATAATCAGATTATTTTCTTTTCTTTTAGTCAGTTAATCCTGGAACAAATAAACCATATATCTTCGAAGCTATTATGAGATTTGTACAACTGTGTTTACCATATTTTGGAACAAAAGCAAATTGGATTACTTTAGCGGAACAGCTTATAGCTGATGGCTTGGCTGTAGGAAATTCCATACAAGATCGCATAGGGTCACAACCTATGGAAAATGAAATTACTTCTGTTACGATTCTAACTCGAACTCTATCTCTTTTATCGCGTTACAGTGTACAGTGTATCGCACCAGGAGATGTGGAGTTGTAAGTATGTTAATAATGTTTATTATCAATGTTTTAGAAGAACAAAGCAAATTTTCCATTATATATGTATATTGGCTTAAAGATGTAGACAATAACATTAATCCCTCTAATCGTGTTATGAATCTGCACTGATCAATGTTTCACGGATTCCGAACCACTGTATAATATGACTTTATTAACAGTGGGAAAATCGTAGGCTAATAAGAACCTTCAATATTTACTCCATGACATGTGACTAATCTGTGAAGTTTCTGACTGTTAGCTTCAGTTGTGTTAAAAAGCACAGCCCTCTTGGCTGGAGTTAGTAAATCTGTGAGAACATATGAAGTTAGTCGGTTAAATAAATCATTGAGCACCACGTGAAACATCGTTGATACGTCAGATGTTTGTATAACGAGTAAAAGTTGAGTTTCTTTCGATATTTTTAACTGTATGACATATTTTACCTCATGGAACTGTAGAATATTGTTTCTTCAGTTCTCGGTCATCATATTACCTTATTATTATGAACAGACTGTGTTCGTATGAGGGTTAATATGTAGTCTGCATCAATTTGCCATTACATAATCTGTTTTATCAAGGAAAACAATATAGCCTATTAATATGGGTACACTAAAAGAACTACGAAAGAATATAAGACTGATAACATATTCGTTGTGAAACTTACTGGTTTATTTTCTCTAAATATATTTTTACATATTTTATTGAAATTATGAGTAGTTCATCACTGAAACCTAACTGTAATGATGCTCTTTCACACATCAATCGATTTTTGAATCGTCCATCTAATTGGGATCAGAATGTTTTCCAAAAACAATTAATGATGTGCATCAGACTAGCAGCTGCATACAGTCTTACATGGCTTCTGGAAGTATCAGTATTTCCTGAGGATGTTTTGGTGTTACATGCTGAAAATGTACTAAATGGTACTCTTTTTCTAATCCAGGCAAGAAAGATTTTTTTATAAATTTCTTTTATATATTCTCAGATCTTCGGATTGTGAGTAGACAAATGAATACACCAATTATCCGTAGACGTATTATAATTTTTATGTGTGAAATTGAACGCGCTGCAAAGATTTTTTCAGTCATGATTATTTTAGAGTTTCAATTAAATTTGACAGTTATAATAGTTCCAACGACGATCTAAATATCTATCAATAACGATAAAAATAATGCTGAGAAATCTTCAGTGTTAGTTGTTTAGTGGTAATCGGTAAGAAGCCTTAAACTCAAGTTTCGTGCTAATTAGCTCTCCTCAGCAATCGGAATCGGTGATCTCTGTGGAATCTAAACTCCTACCGTCAAGTGTGTATTCAAAGCCATCCTAGAAGAAAGCTGGCATTAGCTCCGTCATAAATGGCCATCATACAGAGGCATGTATTCTAGTTGTTAGCGTTCATCTGAAGCTTTTGAATCAATATCTTCCTTGAGCTTTCATCTTGGATTGTTTTACGTTGTGACTGAATTCATCGTTTCCAGTTATTTAAGATCCGAAGCTTATTTTATCAAATTGACTGGTTGATGAGAATATGTTTATGCAGTATGTAGCGAGGCTCTTGTTGGCTTGTGCTAGGTTAAGCTTGTGATATGTTGGTTTCTTCAACAGACAACAATTTTGTAGGTATCATTACCAAGGTTTGATGTGATACTTTCGAATAAATTGAGCATTGGGTTGATTGTTATAAATAAAAATAATATATTTGTAATATCCCAATGAGTAGAAAATTAGATTTTCTGACGTTTCGTGACTTAGTGTAAGTCACTTCTTCAGAGAATAAATAACCAAATTAAAATTAATCGAAGTTTAAATAGTACAACGGAACAATGCAAGAATAATATTGGATCAATCAAATACAGGTCTGAACAAGTTGATGTCTTGTCATTTCTGTCATGGTGATTCATAAGTGATATGTATGTAAATTTGTGTGTGTATGTATATGTGCATTGTTTAAGAATGAAAACTTGTGTGACCTTTATGGTAAGAAAGGTTGTATTATTTAAACTTGGATTAATTTTAATTTGGTTATTTATTCTCTGAAGAAGTGACTTACACTAAGTCACGAAACATCAGAAAGTCTAATTTTCTACTCATTGGGATATTAAAAATATATTATCAGAATGGGTTCGTGGAGATTTTAGAAATTTTCACAGATTGAATTCATGAGTCAGTTGAAGCTAGACCACCATTTAAGACAACAATTTTGTCTAGTTTGGTACTCTTACAGTCTTAATGATCTAACTGACATAATTGAAAGTGAAGGAGTCCCAGACAACTTCATTCTGACCTTTTAAATCTTCAGTGTTCCTCTTTTTTTTAAACTTCTTTCGGAAATAACCCTAGAATCTTCAATCATTCTACCATAGGGTTACTAAACTGATATCCATTGGTTGCTCTGTTGTAAGTTTACTTAATTCATTTTTTTCGTGTCAAACTGTGAATTTGGTTCAATTTTTCAGTTTCGACACATTCGGTAGTTCATCAACAAGCGGTTATGAAATCGAATGATATTCCTATCTCTCAATAAGTTGATGTAACTCTGAGCGGACATTTATTTGGTTATTGTGTGACATAAATAATTAACAGGAGTGCTCTAAAAGCTAGTCTTAATTTCTCTTAACAATCTACTTCTAACAATATAATCTCTTAAAAAACCCGCTATATGGTGCTTAGCAGTGACCATTAGTGCTATGTTGTTTTCAAAAACCCTAGATAGTGGATTTATCGACATTCTGTTTAAACAATTGCTAACAACAAACCTCCAAGTTTTGAAAATACCAACATACCTAGTCATTCATGGAGCAGCCTTACGTTCATGAAGTTGCCCGAGTTCCTGCTAATGACGTAGCGGATTTATCGACATTATGTTTGTTATGTCCCGATAAGAATAATGAGTGGTAAATTTTGGGACTCATTTGTGGACCAATACTATGCGTATATTTTTATTGTATAATTGTTAATTAATTAAACTATTCATATTCATGTCATAAGCTTTATTTTAACCTATGAACTGTTATACGATTTTCCATTCTTGAATTATTCCCTGTCTATTAATCACTACCTCCCACATTCACAGTCATATTTGGCCAAATCTTGTACAAATGTTGTTTCTTATTTTATGGTATGATGTGGTCTGCTTGGTTAGCATATAAACCCCACATGTTTGAAATAAATGATTCATATGGCAGATGCTGAGATTGGTGTTCTTGACTTAACTGGCTGGGCTAGACAGGAAGCGGGACCAATCAGGACTCTAGACTACTCGCACGTGTTTTATGCGTCATTGGTCCGATCGATAATTCACTGCTCACTAATTGGCGGTATCGTTACGTTATCCATTAACAGGGCACACAGGTCACAAGTTATAACAATGTTCAACCGTTTATTAATAAAAGTTTATCTACCACGAGAACTTAAGCAACCACATGTTCATAAAATCGCTTCCTAAATAATGCAGTATATTTGTGTTTTCAATGTTATTCTGTCAAGTTTTAAATCCAAATACTTTAATGACTAACTTTTTTGGCCCTAACACTCTTTATCCGTCAAGTTTGCTTATCACAATCGATCAGAAAGACAACCAACGTTTTTACTTCAGTGTTAGTTCCCTGTACAATACCTGACTCCTTATTAGATGATTATTAAAAAGCTTTAAATTTTGGATTGTCATTATAGACAGTAATTTATACACTGGTCTACTTTGATCGACAAGGTATATAATCATTGCATCAGGAGGTTCTCTAGATTTTCTCATAAGCACCGACTAACCAGCAAAGGCTTAGCCTTTTTTTGGCTTCTGTTAAGATTAAGAGATTTTATTTGCGTTAATTAGATATTGCATATGAATTGATTTACATAAACACTAATATAAACTTTCGAAAGTTATAAACAACATTGAGAACTTTCTAAATAGCCATAAAACTTCATACTGTTTTTCTTATCTCTTTAAATATATACATTTAGGATGTTAAAGAATGTGAAACACAAATCTATATGCTAACTTTATTAGGAAAATTAATTCATAAAATTGATTTAATCGCTTATCCTCAATTCATTACTCCAATTCTAAACACTTTGAATCATTTATGGAGTTTTGGTAAGTCAATATATAATCATTTGTATATTATATTAACTTCGTAATTTGTAGGACCAATTTTGAACAGTTTGTAGTCAACTATAATGTAACACATTGGAACATAATATGTTGTTCCGTCGTGCTATTTAAACTTGGATTAATTTTGATTTGGTTATTTGTTTTCTGAAGAAGTGGCCTACACTAAGTTACGAAACGTCAGAAAATCTGGTTTTTCTACTTATTGGGATATTACCAATATATTACTTATTTATAATATGTGAAAGTTTTCAACATCATAATGGCAATATACTACACCGTGAATTATCTTGTCGGTATCGCTTTTTGTTATGTCGGACAATATTTGTCACTGGCCCAACTACATTACTATCTTTATTATTTTATACAGATTATTCCTTGAGTTTTACAGATATTCATTTATCTATCTGGCGAAAATTTATCTAAAAACGAACATAAAGAAACATTGTTGACCTGTCCAAGTATTTAGGTATTATGTACTGTAGTCAGCAATGACTTTTGGAACTTCGATTATATATATATGAGATAAACTCATGTTTTCTATGCGCACAACGCAGATGGACAGTCAATGGCCTGATAGGTCAAATCTCTTAATCTCTTAACATCTTGACTTTGGCTCAGGATCAGATGGCAAGTGATAATAGGTGACGCTTACCCTGATCATGTCACCAGACAATGGTTTTCAACTTCACAAACCTATAAATCACATTTTGCCAGCTTTGTACATTTAAGGTCATCATCGGTCACTCAGTAGTTCTGTGACTTGCGAGCAGTTATTCTGTTGTAACTTGTGACCGCCTATTAGAGGGAAGTGAATTGTCGATCGGACCAATGACGCGTAAAACACGTGCGAGCAGTCTAGAGTCTTGATTGGTCCTGCTTCCTGCCTAGCCCAGCCAGTTAAGTCCAGAACACCAATCCGAGCCTCTGCCTTTTGAATCATTATATTTCAAACATACTGAGTTTATATACCAATCAAACAGACGACAACGTAGCAGTAAAATATGAAACATTTGTACAAGAATTAGCCAGATGTGGCTGTGAATGAGGGAGGTAGTAATTAATATACTGGGTATAACTCAAGACTGGTAAAACGTATAATAATAGTTTATGGGTTAACATAAAGCTTATAATAACAGGAATACGAATATGCGTAGTTTAGTTACTTAATAATTATACAATAGGAATATACGTTTGGTATTGTTCCGTAAATGGATCCCAAAAGTTACCATTCATTATTCTTGTCGGGACATAACATATTCGCAGATACATATTGGTTGCTTATAACCGACCCATGTCTACTGGTTTCATAGACCACGTTTCATATTCATACAGTAGTACACAGTAGTCTGTTGCACAGTTTACCTTCTCTTCGTTAAATTGGCACACTTCACACTTATCTCCAAAGTTATACGTGTTGACAGAAACGTAGCGGGTTCACCCTGTTATAGTCAGAAATACTTGGAATGTACTGCTTTTTACCATACCTTTCTGCAGACATTCAGACTGTCATTATAGGATCTTGTGTAATAAGTTTTCTAGTCAGTTTTGTTCAATTAGGTTATCACGGTAAACTAACCGGATCATCGTGTTTATTTAGTTACAGTTGTGATCAAGAAGTTAGTTAAAAGTAAACACTCGATCTTAAATATTTTGATTAACTAAAATATTTATTCTGGATTTTAGCTATACCAAGATAAACGTTCCTGTTGAGTGACTGATAATAATTTGCATGTTATTTTTCGTATTTATTTCTTTTTTGTCTAATGTTAATTTATTTTGACACCTTAATAGGTGGTCTAACTGCTGCACTACGAGCTAGTATTCTAAACACTGTCTGTCTTCTAATTACTGAATTTAATGAATTCAATGAATGTTCTTCACTTCTCCCTGAGTTCAATACATTAATACACAGTTCTGTAATTAATTTAATTCAAATATCATTATATCAAGCAGAAGAAAATCAAATAAATGGTTCAGAAGCTTTATTTGAACCAGCTGTTCGTTTATGGGCAAGTTTAGTTGAAGGTCTTAATTCAGCATGGTCACCAGATTTAATTAATTTAATGCCTATATTAGTTGGAGATAGCGTACATTTAATACAAGCTGGTGGAGACCTGTCAGTTGGTACTTCGTTGAAACGACCATTACTAGGTCGCGTGGATTCGGGTGAACAGGCTGATGTAAGTTAGATAGTATGAATTAAGCTATCATTTTTGAAATTATATATGTATATGGCTCATCGTATTAAATTCGGAGTTGTGAATAACAAGAGTTGTGCACAAATGTGTTACTGAATTATTCCTAGTTTATAATAGAATTTTTTGCTTTTCTTCGAGTGGATTTTTCAGAAAAATAAATGAAAATTATGAAAACAAATCAAAATGTTTCAATTTAAATTTAATTCCTAACCTCTGGTGTTTCAACCTTCATCATTAGAATTAAGTCGAAACAACAGCCTACTTTCTATTGGAATTTTCATATATAACATAATCACTTAGTGCTCTGGGATGTTGCATCATTTTTAAAAAGTAGTGGACTTATCAGTAGTCTAGTGTTGTAGTGTGTGCTACTGATGTCAACTGATATAAGTAGTATATATCACCGGTCGAAAGTGGAATGCCTGGCGGCAGAAGGTTGAGAAGATCGAAGAAAAAAGAACGGGAACAAAGGGTGATTGGTATGGAAACGAAGAAGCAATAACGACAATTGATGGACACTTTGAAAATTATGTATTTACTGTATGGTTCTCAGATTTTACTAAGATATTCTGTTCAAATACATTTGGTTGTCCCCGCCTGTGTTCTCGTTCACTACGGTGTAACTAATTACTCTTTTTTTCAAATAGATAGATAGATAGATAGCTGAACTAATAAATACGATTACACAGAATCGTGTTCATCAGTCAAGTTTGTTATGCGTCGAAAATTCATAGAGAAAGCAATTCAACAGGACTGAAAAGTTATCAACAAAACATCAATGAATAGTTGAAGGAACTGACTAAGGAGTAAGCATTTCTACGTCACGCTATCTCAATCAATGAATTCCACCAGTTCAAAGACTATCTGAAATGTCTTTAATTTTGTGTATGGTTGATGTCAACAAGTCATCAACTTTATGAACTGGTGTCATAGTACACTTGGTTTTAGCTAATGTCCTCGTAAATACTTAAGTTTAATCTTTTCAGTGATTGTTCACTGGAACAAATTATTGCCCAACACACACACTCAAATGTTTTGGGTAAAATCATATCTTATAAAAATACAATAATAAATATTTATATCGAAAAAATCATCAAATATACATTAAGCTATGAATATAACCTTTTTTTCTACAGTTAATTCAATCTGTTTATTGTTACATTTGAAGCTTCTTGTTCATTCGCTGTTCTATGAAATAGATTGAAATGTATTTTGACTAAATTGAAATTCTTAATGAATAACATAATTAGCTAAATTAAAGCTTATTGTTAAGCGATATAAACTAGTAGCCGACGATTAACTCTGAACAGTGATGTGGTTGAATAATAGCTTCTAGTTAACTGAAGTATGGCGATGTTATGTGTAATTTTGAATAATGTCACACTTGTTGTACATGTCAGTCATAAGTTTCTTCATTTTGTTTGGCATCGTTAGAAAATAAATTTGACGTCTAGGTACTGGGTGGATCTAGACTAAATGTGTAACAGTCAATATTTTAATCATTCTTTGCAACTTTCTTTATCGTTTGATTTGATGTATTTTTCTTTTGGGATCCAGTGTTTTATGACTGTTTTCACTTTTTTATTACATTATAGCTAGTTTTCCGTATTGCTTATGGTACTTTGAGGCTAGCTCACAAGGCTGGTAATGATATTTTGCACAACTTTATATGCCAGTGGTCCGAACCCTTTTGGATATCTATGTTGGTTGTCAGTTTGAATTGGAATAATTCACTTGGGGAACAAGTGAATTTAGAGGATCTTTATTCTCAAGCTTCTTCATGCATTAATGATGAAAATAAAACAGATGAAGAGTCAAAATACAGGTATATAAATTCTACTGATAATTGCGTATACCATGTTTCATTTAGTAAGTCACTTAGGGAATTCATCATCGAAAAAGTCTCATATACGATGTATATACATATAATGTCATAAAGTTCCGTTATTGCAACTTCATATGGATAAATTTGATGTATATAGGTGGTTTTGTAGATAAAACTCTCTGCAATGTCGAAAACTTCATCTGATGCTGAACCTGTGAACAACCTCTGGATCCCGACACCGATGGAACACTCACCACCACAGTGTGTATGGAAATTGACCATTTTTCACAAGGAAATTATTGCCCACATATAGAACACGTTACACTGGAATAGGTACTGTATTCGTTTTTCTTATCGAATATTGATATCAATTCCATATAAAAATGAAAATATCAATCTTAAGGATCACTGGTTTAAAAGATTTTTGAGCTCTTAACTGGTGGGATTATTAATTATTTTTTAAAATAATGAAAACCTTTACACACAATCAGTCTTGGAGAGGGTATTAGTTTCGATCGACCGAAGATTTCATTGATTTGTATCTATCATTCTTTAGTCTTAGACGAAACTGATTTTCCCAGTATATTGGTGAAGATCGAATTGGATCTTTAGTGGTGGTTTGCCTCATTATCAGGAAGTACTAATTAAATTGAAATTAGTTACATCACTCTAATCATTGGTAACAGAAAATTATTATTTATATAGTATGTGAATAGGAAAGTCAATTTTCAACTCTAAACATTTTGTTATATTTTAACTATTCTGCCCATAAGAAGATACTTTTCAATCTAGTGGCTTACTCACACTAACATCATAAAGCGTAGATAATTTTTTTTCGAAATCAAATATCAATAATTTACTATTTCCTCTTATTTAACACATTTATCATGTTTATTGAACAAGGAGCTGAAGATTCACTCATATAATGAATTATGAATAAGACAGTTATTATGTAAATGTTACTTATCTTTCGTTAATATTACATGTAATGAATGTAAGTTATACTAGTATCATTATCTTGTGGTTTTTGCAGCGTTTATATTTTAATCATAAACGATAGAAGATACTTATATATTAAACATTTTCACAAACTGACATATTTACTTTCTTGTTATTTTGGGTGATATACAAACTCAACTTATTAGTTCTTCAATGACAAACTTTCATATAATTTAATTCACTTAGTATTGTTTTACATGAATCTTCCCATTGGTGTTTAGGAATGCAATTGATCAGCCTCTTATTCACATATATGCATACTGTGCGTATTGCCTCAATAATGCCTTAATTTACAACCATTATAAGCAAAGATGGATAGAGCCTAGCAGTGGAATACATGATACTCGTTTCGTCTTATTTGGGACTCGTCAGCAGGATCTACCTGCATCTGAGTTGATGTCCACTCTGGGACTCGAACTCAGTAGGTTATTCACTTAGCTACTGAGTCCTGATAGCCACTTGCTTGTGCAATATTGTGAAGTTTAATTCAATATCGAGGCATACGCACAGTATGCACATATGCTAATAACAGACTGATCAATTGCAGTGTTAAACCTCAATGGGAAGATACAAGCCAAACAATACCAAGTGAATTCAACTTCACCCCATTGCACAAGCAAGTGGCTATCAGGACTGAGTAGCTGAGTGGATAACGCGATGGCGTTTGAAGCGAATGGTACTGGGTTCGAGTCCTAGAGTGAACATCAACTCTGAGGTGCAGGTACATCCAGCTGACGAGTCCCAAACAGGACGAAACGCGCGTCCTGGATTCCACTGCTAGCCACTATCCATCTTTGCTTCCATATCATTTACTTTGGTTTCGCATTGTTTACATTTCTTTATTATTTTATGTTCAATTTTCAAAGGTTAAATCAACTTAAACTATTCATTATATGGTTTACGATTTATTTGGACATCCAATATTCCCAACAAAATTTTACATCTTTACCGTCGAGTGCAATTGGTTTAATTTTTCTAGCTGCTAAATATTGCTTGATTCGTGCTCCTGAAGATGCACATTCTGATGTTACACCAAAAGCTACGGAACTTCGACTAGAACTTCTCTCTCGATTAGTATTATATCCTAATATGTGGTAAGTTTTTTGTTAACAGAGTTTTTAAAACAGTGCCTGGTGTTTTAGATTTTAAAACTTGATGTATGACTGCATGATATATGTATATGGTCTAAGTATTTTGCTATAAGTATCTTCAAAGAATTGATATTTTATGGATTAACCTCTTAGTGAATAGTCATGAGGCTAGACGCTAAAGTATATATATATATATATATATATATATATATATATATATATATATATATATAATGCAATGGGGCAATCGAAAATTGCGAAATGAGGTCACTATGTGCTAGTCAAAGATCGCTGGTTATAAGTTTATGTTATTATTATTATTATAAAATAATAAATAAGTGCTCATGTATTTGATTCAGTTAATCCTGATAAGTTTCTTCCTTTATCATTGGTCTCCTCACTCAGTATCCACTTTGTGGTTTTCATATAAGAAGTTTGTGTACCAGTATTATTCTCGGATACTGCCCATCATAACAGATCACTTGGTTATCAATAATTTATTGTAATTATTCTGCTTATTACATTTAATTTAGGAAATAAACTACATATAACAATAGTTATTGTTTTACCTCACATTTTACGCTAGTACTGTTGAAACTAACTTCTATCATCCATCTTTCAGGTCTTGCTTTACTTATACATTACAATTAGTTCGTAAATTTTCTGATAATAACAACCCTCCTAATTTATATTCATTGCTACAAGGATATCATAATTCAATCGGTCAGCAATGTTGTTCTACTTTGGATGAATTAAGAAACTTGTTAATTTCACCAATTCGTCGGTGGTTAGGACGTGTGGATTCTTTGCCTAGTTATATTGATCGACGGTGTATAGCCGTTGCTGCTATCACTTGTTTTAGACAAGGTATTCAGTCATACAATATTAATGATCATCAACTACTTGATGTGAAATATTTGGAAGATTTGGCTGTAAATGATAGTTGGCATGCTCAATGGCTTGAACCAGTCATCAATCTTATTATACAGGTTTGTAATTATCTGCATATATATTCTACACTACACTCAATTTTAACGTTATTGTGTGTTTCTGGGCGGTTTTTGTACAGTATTTTTCTATGTTTTATGCTGAAAATATCTTCATCATTAAACACATGCACTTTGTAAAGTAAGTATTCTCATAGAATCCGTTCAAAGATTTTAATCCGGAAAAGATAAGTCAAGAATTTTATGGACGTATAATAAATTTCAGTGAGACAGAATAGATTTTAAGTATTCACGAAATTCCAATCGTGAGATATGGTGATAATCGTATTTTAAAAAGCATACAAAAGAAAAGCGTTGGAATATTAGCAAAATGAGTTTACTGCTATGTTTCGAGTTCCGACTCGTAGCTCAACATAAACTAGTATTTAATTGTTATTGCACACAAGAAACGTTATAAAACAATGATGATATGCTTTGACAAGTAGGTGAGTGGATTTAAACATCAAAATCAGAGTGTAGTATCGTGAAGTTGCTACGATAGGTTCCACAGATTACGAAATGCTATCCATAAAAATAGTTGAATATAACTCAAACTACTGTTTAATAATAAGTAGTATGGAGTATCCTAAAAGTAGGTACTAGTCTGAAATGAGGATCATTACTATCGTTGATTTTATTTTAAACAATTTTTGTTAGCTTCGTGTCTCGTCTTTATGTATATTCCCACTATATCCAAGTTTTGATAGTGCTCCTAATATTTCATCGTAATTTCCGTCCTAACAATTATTTATATCTGAATTATTATTCAACAATATATATAAACCTTTTAAACCATTGATTAAAATCACGTTAATAACAAGTCACTATAAAATACAATTCTGTTGGTAATCCTAATCACGAAGTGACATTAGCCAAGGACCTATAGATAACCTTCGAAATTAAGCAGCTATATGCAGACCCAGTTTAGCACTCTTTAACATTACACATTCACGGCCACACATTAAATGAAACCGAGGAGCTTCACCTCTTAGAGGGCGAACGATATAATCCACTAGTTCATATGGTTAATTTTGTAATATTCAACCATTCTTTAAGTAGTAAAAATCATCTTAAAACCCTTCATTAATATGAAAAGTCTTATCAATAAGCTTGTCGATTTTTTGTATTCAGTTAATTCTGAGTTGCTGATATGCTTTTGTATCTCCCCATTTTCTACATTCTCTATTCTTACTGAGTTATCCTTTAATTTATTTTCTATTAAGGTTCTTTACGATGAAGATGAAGTGTTTACAGAAGATGAAAATATTCAGTTTTATCATTTTTATCCAATAGGAATTTCTACATTGAACAATTTAAAACATCGACTTAGAAATGAACTCAATTTATGGCAAGATCAAGTAGGCTGTCCTACAATAGCCGATGCTTTGATTAAATGTCATGTTGATCCAGCTCTTCGTGTTCAGTTAGAATGTCAATTAAATCAAAGTGAATAGTATAAATAAACAATAATTCTTGAAAAAAATTATTCTGAATACTACAATGTATAAATATTTTATTTTTAATTAAAAACTAATTTATTCGTTTTGCTGCGCAATCGATTTCTGGTTCCCTTTTGGGGTTGTAGATGTGCACTACTAACTAGTCCATATTTATGAGTATAAAATTATTCAATACTCCGTTTTTATCAGTGGGCCAACTTATGACGTTTATCATATGATCGAAATTGTATTAGATTATGTGATTTTAATGAAGTCTCCCACTTTTTTTTGAATATAATGTTTAACGATTGATATGGAAGATGTAATTGTTACTTCATCACACTTCTACTAATCACTACTTGTCTAAATTTATAGGTATCGAATTCTCTGATCTTACCACTTCGAATTTGTTCCTCTTCATATAATTGTTGAAAGCATACAACCAATATTCCCTTGATGTGGAAAAAATATTGAATTTTAAAAGAAGATTTTAGGATGTAGATCTCGACTCATGTATCACAAAAAGGGATAGATATTAACCCTTCATATCAGCCATATGTTTTTCTTATTATCTGAAACTAGAATCTTTCTTTGTTAATGGAGTTCTTTTTTGATACCTGTATTAGATAGGGCAATTGGTACTCAGTGAGTGTATCATACAATTGAATCAGTGTAGTTTCTTGGGAATGGTTAATAGTTTTACTTCCATAGGAATAAGTATTATATTTCGTGATTCTTTAGTACATTTTTGTTAGAGCGAAATTATAAACCTGTTAGTTTGTCTCTTGAGTAAGATTACATCACACTGTAACGTGCTCTATTCTTTTATAATACTGAAGAATATTGAAAAGTAAGGCGTAAAATCATATTTGTATACGGTAGAAATGTATTAAATATAAATATGTGATAGTTACTTTTCACAGAAAGTATGTTTACATTCATATATAAATGAAATAAGTAAATAAAATTATATAAAGGTAAATGAAATATTTGTAGGAAGATAAGAGTCTACACAACAGTGAATTAACAACAGATTCACTTATGTTTTTGATTCGGTCGACTCTTACAGCCTGTTCATCTTATAGGTGATTGTGTTAGTTGTGATATTATAGAGCTTTCTTACTCTAGTTTTTATGCGTTGATTTTAGTGTATTTACGTCTCGTTTTATCAGAGGATGTTTAGGAAGAAAAATGTAAATGGGATGGATGGTTCGTATCTGATGAGATAGCACTTGTCAGATGTTTGCAAGACTTCAGATGTCTATTAACGGCAACCTTCGTAATAAGTACCGGAGATTTATAACATAGTTTACTAATTGCCTTCAGTACTGCCTGAAATGAAGTAAAATCTTTTCTCGTAAAATTAGGGAAGTTTGATGGGGAACAATAGACGATAATAGTTATCATACAAGTACTTAAGAATTGTAAAAGTCGAATGTTGAGTAATAGTAAAATCATGTAGCCTCTTCATGTGATGAGTCAAACGAAAACCTTTCCTCGACATAACATGAGAAGGCCAAAAGTGGTCAGTATACACCACAATAAATGACATCCGGCATGGTTTTAGTAACGGAATCTTCAGTGGTTTGCACTTTATTTGGCTTTAACAAAGTGTCCTTTTCATGTTTCAAGCCAAATTTAACAGTTTGACGTTTAAGATTAAGTGTGAGACTATTAAAAATGGACCGTCGTTCAGTAATCTTGAAGAACACATTCAATTCAAGGGGGTTTGAGGAGGAAGAAACAGTGTGATTGCTCCCATGCTTAACAATTGTTTTTTGTAGGAAGTAATAGATTATAAAGAAAGGAAAGGGGAAATAAAAGCTGGTTATGCTGCGCCAGTGTAAGTTAATAAATAAGTAGAATACTTTCCCCTTAGTATGCCATTTTCTTCTAGAGAATTAAGAATACAGTCAGTCGGTTATCCAGTTCTCGGTGTTAATGCTAAGAAATGCGCTCGATGATAGAAGTCATGAAACAGAGTCAGAAGCAGAAGTAAAGCATATAAATGCGCACCGAATGTACTCCTCACTTTTTTCCATGCTGAACCTTATATTCTCGTACAGGACAATACCAGCATTTCTAAGCAAACCGATGTGAGTCAGCACTGCTTTTATGCAGGCTGAAGTAGTGACAGCAATAGTTTCTCTATCGTTTTTAGAGAAAGTGAATTCATTGTTTAGGGTTTGAACTCTACATTCTTATCACTGGATTTTCCCTCTTGCACTGACATTATCTTTATTTTTCGGTACACTTTCTAAAATTAGTTGGAAAGACTCATAAAAAATGCTCGTAGATGGATGAAAGAACATCAATACATTTCTGAAAATGGTTTGGAATGTTGTCAGGTACTAAACATTGTTATAAATTACGTGACTTCAAACATTTTGTAACACCAGTTTCCGTAAAACTGGAAATAGAACAGATGAAATCAGATGCTTGAGCTATAGAAGATTTATTCTAGTTACAAACATTCAACTGGGTATCTTCACTAATCCGTTTCTTACATGTAAGCTCTTTAAACGATTTCCGTACATTGGATGAGTTCTTTGAAGATAAGAGTTTGTGGGCATATATCAAACTCGGACGGATTATCAGGCTTATTGAACAGTTTAGCCTTTTTAAATCAATAGAGATCTCTAGACAATATTCCTTTTCCCTCTCAGATAACAGTTGTGGAGATCTTACAACAGTGATCTCAGTGGGACCACAAACATCAAGATAGAGTTTAAGGTAACAATTGATGATAATAAATACGTCTTCCAATGAATCATTTATGAGTAAGTCTCAGTTCACAGTTCAAAACATGATTTTCAGATCTAGGATGTTTTCTTAGTAGTTTCTATACGTTTGGACATTTTATCTGATGTGAGGGAATATTTTTTCAAAGTTTGCCACATGCTTAAGGAGGAGCTAGAATAATACAATAATCAGAACTAAGCAGTGGAGTACTTTTACAAGTCACGTATACTTCCACATCATTAACGAAAACTAAAAAGGTTGGAGAAATCGATGGTGTTCTGATGACCTCAAGATGAAACAAAGCTACAATCATATGAATCAGAATCACCACGCCCATTTTAAAGAGAACCAATAAGTAGAGTAAAAAGAAATTCAGTGAGATTATCAACGAAAACCGTTAGTAAAGATGAGGTGCATAAATGCTGGTAGCATAAATATAAACGTATTTGTCCAAGTGTCTTGAGCGACATATTAACGTTAAGCAATTGATAAAGTCATTTGTAAACTCAAAACATACATAAATTGACTACAGTTTACATTTAGAAGCGTGACTACACCATTAGAGTCCATTTTTCTACTGCTTGAATAATTCGGACAAATCCTAAAACGGTGTTACTTACGCCTGTTACTCTCAATGGAGCATAGGCTGTCCTGAACCTACCTTTCTATTTCTATCCAATTGTTGTTCATTCTTCGCATGTCCGTCTCCATTTCTCAGCGTAATGTGTTCTTTGGTCTTCCTCTCCTCTTTTGGCCTTGAGGTTTCAGGTAAGGGCTTGCCTTGTGACTCAGTTGGGTTCATTCCTCAATGCGTGTCCTATGCACTTCCAGCGCTTTTTCCTGATTTCTTCCTCCTCTTGAATCTGGTTTGTTCTCTTCCATAGTAGGTTGTTGCTGATAGTGTCTGGTCAATGGATCTGAAGTATTTTGCGTAGACAACTGTTAACAAAACTTGTATCTTTTGGATGATGGCTTTCATAGTTCTCCAAGACAGTATAATTGTACCAAACTATCGTCATTTCAATCATTTAGTTAAGATATTTGAATTGTGATTACATCACAATTACAGTAAATGTTTGGGCCCAGTTAGCTTTGCCCATTAGTGATCTGTAATTAAAAGTAAATAGTTCAGAGATAGATAACACCTGAACTAAGGATAGGGAGTAAAGTAGTCGAATGCGTTGACAACTTCAATTATCTTGGAAGTCTGATCAGCCCTAATGGGTTGGTGTCTGACGAAATCTCAGCACGGATTCGAAAAGCTCGATTGGCTTTTGCCAATTTACGTCACCTATGGCGAAGGCGAGATATCCGTCTATCAAAAAAGGACGGCTATACTGCGCGGCAGTTCGTTCTGTTCTTTTTTACGGCTGCAAAACATGGCCATTTAGAGTAGAAGATATTCGCAAGTTACTAGTATTCGATCACAAACATCCTAGAACTATTGCTCACTCTACTGGGATCACCTGGTAAGTAATAGTGAGGTTAGACACAGGGTATTAGGGAATGATGGTAAACCAGTTGATGAGATTGTGAATCTTCATCGACTGAGATGGTTGGATCACGTGTTACGTATGCCTGAACACCGATTACCACGACGTGCAATGCAAACCGATGTTGGGGATGGTCGGAAGAAGGTTAGGGACGACCAAACCAAAACGTGGCATCAGTGCTTGAAGTCACTAACTTCTAGTCTGAGCCATGTTGGGAGATGCAGACTACTTGGTTAGGGTCCATGCGATTATCGTAACCAATGTTTGGAGACTCTGGGTGACATGGCTCAGAATCGATCACAATGATGTCGGTGTATATACTCCCTGTCTTCCCTCACACTGCGAGATTAAAATCGCTTCCTATCTTTTTTCTACGAACTATTTCTTTCTTCCTGTACTATATCCTTATATACAATCTTTCTTTTATATAATACTACCATTGAATTAACTACTATGAATTCGTTGTCCATCTTGTTGTGTTAATGAGATATGACAACTTGGACCGATGCATATATGTGCCTGGTCCTACGATATAGCTGACTGACTGAAATATCTGATTAATGTTTACTCTTATTTTAATAATGATAATGAAAAGCGAAAACAAACAGAATATAAGAAACTTATTTAAATATTTTAAAATGGTAAGAAAAATAGGTAGACTAGATATTCAAACAGGCCACCGTAAGATTAGTTATGGTACTAGTACTGATATTAGCAGTAGTAGTAATAGTAATAGTAATAGTAATAGTAATAGTAATAGTAATAGTAATAGTAGTAGTAGTAGTAGTAGTAGTAGTAGTAGTAGTAGTAGTAGTAGTAGTAGTGATTGTATTCATTTCAATTTCTCAATAATTTATTAGAATTTATTACTTTTATGATGCTGACTCAGTAAATTAGCTTTGAATATCCTTTAATACATATACATATGTATATTCCAAGAAATGTATCTTTATATTTGATAAGACTAATATTTTTTTCAGTTATTTTAACTCAAATAATCATACGATATCACTTGGAAAATAACAAAGCAAACTCAACTACTGTGTATTTCCTTTATACTTTTGTAATTTAAAACATTGTTTTACTTGATTTTGTATAAAATAAAACAGCTTGCCAGATTTTTTCTATTATGATTGATGTATTTTTTTAATAAAAAAAACAAAGAGAATACAAATGACATGTATAGAATGCTAAATATTTTGTGTATAGTATGTTAGTGAATAATTTATTCCCTTTCTTAGACTAGGTATTCATTTGTTCAGTGTGAATTTTGTTAGTATGTTATTGCTGACAGTTTATGATTATTACTATTTAAATACATAAATATTGATACAAGGAGACACTAAATAGATATACGTCAC